CGTAATGTCCAAATGATATTGTGCTAATAACAAGGGAACTGCAGTGGTTGTGTGTGACTTATGCACCCCGGCCCCCGCCCCTTTCCCTTCCCAACAACTCTGGATATCAGCGGGGGATCCTTAGGCTTCTGGGGAAACTGGTAGGGCCTGTGATCTAGGCTCAGTCAGTCGGTTCATCCTAATCCACTGTATGCGACAGTGTCCTTATTCAAAGAGGAAACCTGGGCACAGACACGCATAGAGGGGAGGTGATGTGAAGAGACACGGAGAAGATGGCCACCAACAAGCAAAGGAAAGAGGCCTGGCACAGATCCTTCCTCACAGTCTTCGGAAGGAATCAACCCTGATGACACCTTGATTTTGGACGTCGAGCCTCCAGAACTGTGAGACAATAAATTCCTGTGGTTTACGCCACCCGGTCTGTGGCCCTATGTTATGGGAGCCCCAGGAAACTAAGAGTAGGTGATGGTGGTAGTAGTGGTGGCGGTGGAGGTGATGACAATAATACTATCTATCCTTAAATTGATGCCTTTCCAAGTTGAAAAATGGGACTTGGCATTTATAATCCAGTCAAAGGGCTAGGAAATTTATAATCCTGATTATGAGAACAGACTCGAGTGCCAAAGAGCCAGAGTTTTTTTTAATTTACTATTTATTAGCTGTGTGAGGCTTAGATACATTACTTTTCTGGGTCTGTTTGCTCATAGATGAAAAGGGCATGATTATAATACTTTCCCACAGACAGATGTTCCTCCTGCGGACCCCACAAGCTGCACAGGTGAACTCCAATCCCTAAGCAGTGACGGCCAATGATCCAGCCGTGTGCTAATGAACACCCAGTGCCTTTGCTTGTAATGAGATAGAGTTCACTGGGGACCACATGCCTTGCTTTCTCTCACCTCAACATGATCCCTGCCAGAAACCCACATTTTTTTCATTTTTCTGTTGAGGTAGAGATAAGTAACTTCTTGTAACAGTATCTGTTCAATTACCATTTCAGCTTTTCCACTTGAGCTTAAAGTGACATTTTGATGGTGATAAAGTTCCATTTACCTGTGGAAGGTCAAGTATCTTTGGACATCCTAATCTTTTCCAACATCACATCAGAGGAAATGAATCAGATCTGAGAGGAAAAAACTTCTATTACAAGTGACTTAAAACTAGAGGCGCTACTTTATTTACAAACAGCAATGACTGAGGACCTGACAGATTGTGCGAACCAGCCTGATCCTCTCATATTGTGAAATTTCACTTCAGTCACTGCCCAGCCCACAGAAGTTCCTACAAATACACTCTGACCTTTTGTCTTCTAAATTACAAGTACCACAGAACCCCACAGATTCAACAAGTGTACAGTTCAAAAGGGAAAAAGCAGAGAATCAAAAGCAAAGCCATTTATTAAATAATAAAATAAACAAACTTGAGGCTACTATAGCAAAGAAAGAGATATTGTTTAGGAGAGATTAAGTAGCGTTAGGACGTTCAAATCAATAAGGAAAATGTTTATTTTTTGCTTAAAGTATCTCCACCGACAAGGCATTCACTGTTTAGAGAGCCTCCTCAAATGGCAAAGTAGTTTACTGTTTCTCAAACTTGGGTGCACCTTGGAATCATCTGGGGAGCTTTATAAAAATAAAAATGCCCAGATCCCACCACAGAGATTCTGATTATAATTGGTCTGGCCAGAGCCCGGCCATCAGGATTTCTAAAATCACCCTAGACAGTTCTAATATCCAGCAAAGTTGGACAACTACTGCTCTGTTAGAAAGTTCTTCCTTATGTCCAACCAACACTGCTTTTCCTGCTCCATCAGCATCCTCTGCTCCCTGGTCCTAGTTTTGCCCTCCAGAGCAAGGCTCTGTGATGGGAAGCCTTCCCATCCTTGGATGGGGTTATGAAAGTCTATGATACCTCTGAAGATGCTCAATGGTTTTTTTCAGGGAAGGGCCTGCATCAGAGTTACAGAACAGTCTGTCACTACAAAAGGTTGAAGAATCATTGATCCAGAGATTACCCACTGCCTCTCAACAGCCCTATGAAAAAGTGCGATGTACTCTGCTCTTTCAGGTTAATCATCTCCAGCGCCTTCAACTATTTCTCACATGCCATGAGAATATGTAAAATCCGAGGGGAAGACTGTATCGCTATCCTATAAATCTAGAGAGAGGAACAGCAGAGGTCAAGGATGCAATACTGGGTAAGCCCGTACATTGAGTCAGTAGAATTGGACCCAGTGAGGCCACCAGAAGAGGTTCCAGTCACATAATATTACAAAGTGCCAAAGAAACCCAGGTAACAATAATAACTTAGTAATACAACTTACTGTTACATAGCTCTTACTATGTGCCAAGCATTGTTATAAGTACTTTACCTATTTGTTATAAATACATTTTTATAAGCACTTTACTCATTTAATGGGGGATCATGGGAAATATATTGACTCCTTACAACTATAAACTAAGAATCATCTCTGAGTCAGTTAACACAGTATTCTTAGTCAAACGGGCAGATTCCTACATACCAGACTGCTAGGTGCTTCTCCAGAATCCTGCTAGTCTTCAAGCAAGCTGGATCAACATACTCCACAACTAAGATGGAATATTGGTGGTCTTTTCCTAATTAGAAAAAAAATTCAGTTAGTGGAAAGCATAGTCTTAATTTTAAATTTTCCTCCTATAAAAATGTGCCTTCAAGTTTTATTGCCCACTCTTGTCTTCTAGGTCTTGTAAGAAATGACAAATAGAACTGTACAAAAAGCAATAAAAAATCAGCTAAAGGAGTAGATAAGTGATGCCCTAGCCAGTTTGGCTCAGTGGTTAGAGCATCGCCCCGCAGACTGAAGGGTCTCAGGTTTGATTCCAGCCAAGGGCACATACCTCGGTTTCAGGCTCAATCCCTGGCCCCGGTCGGGGTTCATGTGGGAGGCAACCTATCAACGTGTCTCTCTCATATTAATGTTTCTTTCCCTCTCTCTCTCTCTCTCTCCCCCTCTCTCTCTCTGAAGAGCAATGAAAAAAAAAAGTAAATAAGAGTAGATAAGTGACTTCATACAAGTTATATGCAGTTTTACTTTTATGTTGGAACGCAGAAGTCTGCACTGATAGAATACTCATATTTTCTGATAGTAAAATTGTGCCTACTTTACAGATTTAAAGTAAATCAACAGCTCAAGCTATTCCACTTCTTGACTTCCAGTGAGCTTAACAACCTGATTCTGTTTGAGAATCACTGGAATAAAGCATACATCAAAGTCCTTATTAATGTTTTCCAAGAAAATCACATTAAGAAAACACAAAGATCATAGTGAAAAATGCTACCATGGGAAAAATGCATTTGCAGATGCAACTAGATAATCTGGATTTGGAGTACAAAGCAGGAAGGCTCACAGATGTAGGCCAGATGGTATTAAACTCTATCATATACGCTACTGCACTGACTCAAACCAAAACACATGAAGAAGAAAATGTTGACTGAGGTCCAAGCCCCCAAAGTACATGCTTGGGTGAATGAGAATAAACCCAAAGAAAACTTGATCAAGGAACTTAAGATATTTGGAAACGAAATAAAGAAGATGAATCAAAGTCTAAGGCACAGAGCCTATGGAAATTCAAAATGATCCAGAAAATATCTTTTCTAGTAGAATTTTTTATTTAATCACTCACCCAAGATTATGTTTGGATTGATTTGAGAGAGAGAGGAAAGGGAAGAGAAAGAGAGAGAGAGAGAGAGAGAGAGAGAGAAATACTGATGTGAGAGAGAAACATCAGTCAGTTGACTCCTGTACTCGCCAACCGGGGATCAAACCCATGACCTAGGGATGTGCCCTGATGGGGACTGGAACTCATAATCTGTTGGTGCACAGGATGACGCTCCAACCAACTGAGCCACCCGCCAGTGCTCTAGTAGCATTTAAAGACAGAAATGGAAAGGAAATGATCAGCAAAAACAAAAAACTGTATCATTCTTTTATCAATTAAACATAAGCCATAAGCCATCTTGATTTGCTTCAACATAATCCTGCAGGGAGTGTGAGGGCCGTGGGGCGTGCGGTGGGTGCGGTTGGAGAGAACACGATGAAATCAACGTGGCCGTAAGCCCTGTTCGCCGGAGGTGGGTGTGAGGGCACAGAGGTTAACTATACACTTCTCTCTACTCTTAGGTAAGCGTGAAGTTGCCCACAGTAAAAAAATAAAATAAAAATTTAAGCCATTACGTGTTCACAGTGGTTCAAGAAATGAAATGTGGGATAATGGTGGAGGTGAGCATAGGATGAATTCTACCTTAAGCAAATCTACACTTATTAATTCAACAAAGATTGCTATATATTTTAAATGCTATATCCCAATCTTTTTTTATTGACTTGAGAGAGAGAGAGAGAAAGTGGGAGGAAGGGAAGGAAGGGGAGGAGGAAGAGAGAGAGAGAAAGGGAGAGAGAGAGAGAGAAAGAGTTGTTGTTCCAATTATTTATGCATTCATTGGTTGATTATTGTATGTGTCCTGACCAGGGAGGAAACCCACAACCTTGGCATATTAGGATAACACTCTAATTAACTGAGCTACCTGGCTGGGGCCTATATTTCACTCTTGAATAACACTGAGCTTGAGGTCAACTACAACTTCTAAATTTTCTTTCACATGAATTGTTAATAATCCCTGTCCTCTTGATTCTGTACCCATGCTGTTGATTTTCTTTAAAAATGTTCTTTCTGACATCCAAATGTACCAGATTCTTCTAAAATTTCCTTTTCTTGGTTTTGGATTATCATCCCAACCTGCTTGGATAATTCTGAGTCATTTCTTCCCATTCCCACTTTAAGACTTCATTAATTCACTGGACATACCCTCTGTAACGTCATCTGAATCACTGATATAAATGTTGGTGAGGAAAGGATAATGTCTTGTGGATATCTCTGGTACTTGGGTGTTTACTAATTATCCAACCTCACTATACAATTATCTGGCCCACATTTCTAAATTTCATCTGCTGGATTCCTGATCCACCTATTTAGGTAATCCCATTGAAAACAAAAAGGAATCTTACCAAGAGTTAAGGAAATTTACATTTACATTTACATTGATGTCTATTAATTTTTTTTACATTTATATCTACATTAGGGATGAAGAATATGTTCCAAATTATCAGTTCCAAACAAGTAGTGGCTACCTAGGGTGCTGTGTTGAGAAAGATCTTAAGACTTGGCCACTATAGGAAAGAGTTCTGTGATTGATTAATGATGTCTGTCAGGGAACAAATAAGGAATCTGGTGGCACATTTACCACATATTTTTCATTGCCTGTCTACATAGACTACAGATGTCTTACCCTAGATTCCTACACCCGGTTGACATATTCCTAATCAATTAACAGCAGGGGTAATGTTGTTACCCCTGGAGAGGTAAAAAGGCCATGGTGTTTAAGTCAAAGCAGGCTGTTTATGTCAAAAGCAGGCTGTAATCCCTCAAAACTCCTTACCACTTCCCTGGCTCTACACCATGTTCCCACACCTGCATCTTCCTAGAAGTTTCAGGTTTAAAAGAATCTTTAATCTATGTCAGAATTTCAGCCAGGGAAAGATGGGTTTCTGGCAGCCTCTCTTGAAATTATAAATGGGTGTTTCTGTGGACCTTACCAGTATGTGTTGAAGAAATCAATGAATAGAAACAACTATGGTGGAAGTTAAGTTTCTTAATACAAAGCAAAGCTTCATGTATATGAACTGGTTAAATAGGTCTTGGAGATTAGCCTGGATATGCTGACCATTGGTAATATAGTTTCTAAAGGAAAATGTCACTGGGGCTTCAATCTAATGCACAGTTTTGAAACAGTTCTGCAAGGAACTGAAACTTTGCCTCAAAGTTAAGCACCTGCGCCTCCCAATTTGAGCAAATTGTGCATTTCCAAGAGTACAAATCTTATCTCCCCATGTGAATTATCTGTGCCTTATGCTTATTATGTGCCCACAGGGCACAGCAGCTGATTGTTCACAGGAGCATGGTTCCTACAACCATCCGTCCTCGGATCAGACCAGGTCTATTCCAATCACAGTCTCCAACTCTTCCACTTTTTCCATTCACATTCATTCACTCATTCAGCGCCCATTAGATGCCTAGCACTGGGAATAAGATGGTAAAGCAACGCCCATCATCCCAGTTCTCATACAGCCTACAGTCTACACGAAAACACAAGTCATCAAACACACACACCCAACCTGTCTCTCCCAAGGCCAGACACTTCATACCTGGATCTTCCCTTTCCTTTAATAGTCCCTCCCTTCCCTCAGGCATGATCCTTCCTTCTCCATCTACCTCCACCCCTTCCTCCAGCAGTTCCTACCTAGCCACAAAAGATGTCTTTTCTTCATTCAAGAGCTAACCTCTCCAGCAGAACATCCCCACCTGCCTCACCAAGCCCCACCCCCTCCTCCACTGGCTCCGCCCTCACAGGGTCCCGCCCTCAGCGGCCCCTCCCGCGGCCCCACCCACTCCGTGACGCCACGCCCAGGCCCCGCCCTTAGCCATCGCGGGTTCGCAGTACCTGTCCCCTCTCCCTCCCAGCCTCAGAGGGCAGCTGCCTCTCGTCCTCGGCAGGGCTCTCGCTCTGCCGCGCGTGGGGTGGTGCGGGGCCCGGCTCCGGAGGCGGGGAAGCGGCCGCCACCACTCACCCCCTCACATGTGGCCAGCGAAGTGGGAAGCCCCCTGCAGCTTAGTTTTCGCAGGCGGCCGCCAAGAGCGAAAGTTGCCCTGGGTTACGACGCACTGGAAGCGGGGTGGTGGGCGGGCCCGAGGGAGGGGGCGTGTCCACAGCGGAAGTGACGTAAGTCCTCCTCGCGCAACAAAACTGAGCGCGGGAGGCGACGCAGGCTGACAGCGGCGAGCGCGTGCTCCCAGCGGGCTTTGCGCGCCCCACACCTTCGGCAGCGCGTGAAGATGCCCCGGCTGCGGGAGCCTGAGGCGGTGTCGCGAGGTACGGTGCAGCCTTAAACGCCAGTCAGGGAAGTAAATGAGGGGCTGTATGCCCGCCGGGCCCTGGGATAAGAACGCGAGGTCCCTTTGGGCCGACTGCCCCTCAGAGACCCGGGCCTCTCACCAGCCATTCTTGCTTTTGGGGCCTAATTTTTCCGAGGTGGGGCCGCCGTGCGCCCTGCAGTATTAAGGGTTAGCAGCATCCCTGGTCTCCATCCACGAGTGCCAGCCAAAAATGTCCCCAACGTTGCCAACCGACCCCAAATAGCCCCTCCCCCGTGAGAATGACTGTGCTAGGGTGATTCAGGCCAAAAACTTAAAACTTGGTCTTTAACTTCGGCGCCTGCGTGCGCGGCTGGACAGCACTAGACTGGCTAGTACGTGGCTGGCAGCCCTCACCAGCACTTACCGAACTTGTGTAGCAGTACAGCTCTGTGCAGCGGGCACTGGCGGCTTTTTGTGGTCTGGGGTTTTAACAAATGAAGAAAAGTAGCCTCGCGTCCTTAAATCAACTGTGAAACTCTTTGAAGACAGTGCAAGGCTACCCTCTTACGCCCTCCCACCTCTGGTGCTGGGACTTTTGAGCACCCAGAGGTGCAGCTGGGGTGGGAACCTGTGCCCAGGCAATAGGTGGTAGACCTCAACCCAACTCAGGTCCGATTCCAAAGCCCTTCTTCTTTCTGGTTTTAGAAATGTGAATATTTCTGCTGTAGAAAAGTACTAGAATGTAAGTCCTTCATATCACTGATTAAAAGGCATTTGGAAAGATAGCTATTCCTGCTTTTTTACAGAACATAATGAATTAGAAGGCCTTTAAAGTTCCATGCAAAGACTATTTTATATAATGTCTTCGAATATTACAGTATTCTAACAGGGTAGGACAAAGTACTTTTATAGAATATGACTACTTTTTTAGGTATCATTTCTTTACCTAAAATATACATATTTGGATAATTTGGCTTTCACAACCTGGAAGGAATGGTATGCCTGCATGCTTCTAAAAGAAACTGTAGACAAAACTGCATACCCTATTGCATTTTTATGCGTTAAAACATACAGTTTTAACCCTAAATTTTAGTAGTAGTCAAGGATGTAACATCCAGAGTATCATGAATGCAGGCATTTTAAAATGTTACATTACTCTTTTAAAAATATTGAAATCTAAATTTAATGGCAATTTAATACCTATCAACATTTAAAAATACATGAATAAACTAAAAGATGGAAACTTCTTTTGCTTTTTCTCCTTAAATTCATAATTGTATTTTTATTCTGCTTCCTCCACAGAATTTTATTCTAACATTATTTATGGGCAAAGACTTTTATTAAGTACTCTATCATTTCTCTGTGCAGCAGAAATATGTAACTTGAAAATGAAATTTAAAAAATTGTCTTCAGCCCGATTGATCATTGACCCATGAACCTGGAGGTCACGATTCGATTCCCAGTCAGGGCACATGCCCGAATTTCAGGCTCATTCCTCAGTGGGGGGATGCAGGAGGCAGCTGATGATTCTCTCTCATCACTGATGTTTCTCTCTCCCCCCTCCCTTCCTCTCTGAAATCAATAAAAACATATTTTAAAATAAATTATAATGTCTTATGACAGTAAGGCTAAAATAGTTCTTTCCAGATGGAGAATTATCTTTATTCCTACTCATTTGGGAAACAGTAGGAATATATTCCATCTATCTGTGGGTAAATACTGCATATTGTAAGAATGAGACAGATTCAGTGCCAATTTTATCCCAGTTTTTTCATGACGTAAGCTGATATACCTTGTTCATAGGAAGATGCACACAAAAGGGGTTTTGTTATAGCAGTCTCTTAAATTTTTTTAAAACCCCTTTCCACACCAGAAACCACAGTGATCAACAACAAAAATTAATGATCAGCTGACTGTTTGGATCCTCCTTTAGTTCTATTGAAAACAGAAAATTTGAAACCATCTGACTAGGATTTGTTATCTAGTCACTAAAGTTACTTTCTCAGTTTCTGAATATACCAGTCTTAACTAAGATTTACTAAATGATTATTAAACTTCTTCACTGAAAGTACATTCTCATAAGTATATGTGGAAATTGTAAGATCCAGTAACTGATTTTCTTTACACTAATCATGCCTGCATGTTTTAAATGTGCTAGTAATCACTAATGAAGCCCAGCAGGTAAAAGTCTAATAGCATGATTGAGTAGAAACATTAAGGGACAAGTGTTTGGCAAGTCATGTTTATAAAGAGCCAATCTAGATTGAATCAAGATATCAGCAATTCTAGTACAGTATCTCAGAGTTGGCAAAGGGATGTTTCCCAAACAGAGAAAGATAGGGTCAGGAGATATAGGGAAACTGTACTTTGTGCTCAATTTTTATCCTAAATCTGCTCTAAAAAATAAAGTCTATTTAAAGGGGAACAAAAGACTGATGAGGGTAGGTGATCAGTAAATCCCTAGATTTTAATCTTGATGTGAAGTGAGGACCCTCTCTGAGGAAGGCAAATGTGTGATTAGGTCTGAATAATAGATTGCACAGCAATAATGAGGGCAGTTATAGTTAGCATGATTTTTTAAACTGAAGGTAAGCAGTACATTTCAGCAGCCCCAGAAAACTTGGGGAAATTTAGAAAAAGTCAAAAAAATTTGCTGAGTTGTCTGAAAATACCAGCCTCATTTTCACACTAGCATGCCTATGCAGAGCCCTCTAGTGGTTTTTCATTAAAAATACTGTCAACGGTCAACTACCTGGGAGATTATATAAAAATTTCGAAGAAATTATTTTAACACTTCCAGAGTAACCTGTTGCATTGAGTTTTAATTATTAGAAAGCATATTCAAAACCTTTATTACGCTAATATATTAAGACCAAAACCATTCAAAAGGAATATGAGATCTGAGAAATTGAATTGTTACTTTATTCCCCACTCAGGCCTATTATTTTTGGCAGCACTATAACAGAAATGAGGGTGAGGGTTGAACTGGCTCTGTATTCTACATAGTGAAAGAGCAAGTTGCCGTAACGTGCTGCTCTTTGAAAAAATTCAGACTGGGTATAACAGACCAAGCGTGTGCATTTTTGGGAAAAAATGATAGAATAAAAAACTGCTCATCTCTTTCAGACTACAATCACAGGTGTACTTTTACTTTAGCAAGGCCATTTCTGCTTCCCACCTTTAGAACACTCATCCTTTGCCCCTCCAGTTCCCATTTAAGTATTTTTTATAGTAGCATTTGCTAAGAAACTGACAAAGAGGGGAACAGGAAATGTGAAAATCCTAACCATGACTGCATAGCTTTTTAACAATCTCTTATCCCCTCTACCACCTTATTTGTGAAATGGTGGTAGCTATCTAGCTCTTATTGTTGTGAGCATCAAAGAAGGTAATATATGAGAGTACCTTCAAAACAAAAAAGTAAAATGTATGTAATTATTGCTCATCCCTTTTTATTTCCAAAGCAGTCAAATTAGTTAACCTGAAAAATACACAAACAGGGAGACCAACATCCAGGGTATTTTGGAAAACTTAATAAGGGTGCAGAGATACAGCTCAGCAGTGAGACAGCCATTGGCACAGTCTTGGAAAGACTGGTTTCCTTCTGCTGAGGAGCAGGAAAGATTTATGTTACTTACCTCCTTCCCCTAGGTTCTCACATTTGCTGTTTATTCACCATCAGAAGGTGGTAGTCTGGAAATTTTCCTTTTCCTCTAGTAACAAGGAACATGAGAGAGGTGTTTGTGTGCTCTTGCTACATGAGTATCTCCCCTCAAAATACCAGCATACTACAGTTCGCTGAATTAAAATACCATTTGGCACTCTAAATATGCTTATACTACAAGCACATTCACTAAGTCAGTATCTGAGCTCAAAAAGTTTCATTTCTATTCCTACTACTTAAGTGGAAACCTGAATGTGGTTTAACTTTCTTAAGGATGCCATCCAAGTGCTGTATTGATCAAACTTTCACCTTTCCTTGTTTTTCCTCTTTTCTAACTTAGCATGAAAGAAAAACAGTGTCAGTGGTTTCGTTTTCATGATATTAAAAATGACCAAAACAGTACTTAATATTATCAGGCAATTAGATGTTTGCTTAAGAAAAGCACATTTATGACTAAAGGGAAACATTTTCTTGGAACGTTTCATTGTTATGTCTTCAATTTCCTTAAAAACTTTCCATAAGTTAAAATTAGCATCTTCACAAATACTAGCAGAGTCACTCAATGAAATATTAACAGCAAAACAAAAAACATGATTAATGAAGAAGTGGAATGTTTTATTATTAAACTTTCTTGTTTTCCTGCAAGGCTGCTGCTTCAGTGTATAAAAATAGCACCAGCAAACTCATTATATTGCTAAATTAAGACAGCATTGTTCCTCATTTGACACCATAACAAAAACTTTTCTACTGCCCGTTATTTCCAAGGAAAGATCATTAAGTATTTTGACCCAAACCCAGAGACTGATATAAGCAAGTTACAATATTATATAAGGCTTAAGATAACAATGTTATCCTTGAAGTACATAATTTTTATAACTAGGTTTTACCACAGATAATTTCAGGAATTCTGAATATTATAACTGTAGTCTAGCCTAAAAATTATAGGGTGTTGTGAAAAAGATGCATATTGTGTTTATTTGCCATCATTAGAAAGTTAAGGGGTATTTTTGTCCAGTAGCATTACTGTAATTTTTTCCCCCATTGGTATTACTAAATCTTTTATCCACCACTAATTTAAGACAACTATCTAGATCAAGTTGTTTCATACTACTTTATTTAGGGGGGTTCCATTTTCACTCCTCAATAGATTTAATGTATTTCTCATATGCTTCTTCACTCATTAGTTCATCTAGTTCTGAAGGGTTACTCAGTGTCATCTTGATCAGCCAACCTGCAACCAAAATAAAGGACCTTATATTCCAAATTATCTTTTCAAAAAATAAAAGTCAATTTCATTCAAAGTATAAAATAAATAGTTTTATTTTCAATTAGTTTATATTCATTATTTTGTATTTTTTTCAGATGCACAACATAGTGGTTAGACAATCATATGCTTTATACAGTGATTACCCTGATATTTCAAGTACCCACCTGACACCATACATAGTTATTACAGTATTATTGATTATTGACAATATTCCCTATGTTGACTACTTTGTAACTACCAATTAGTACTTCTTATTCCCTTCACTTTCTTACCCAAGCCCCAAGCCCCTCTCCTCCAATAATCATCAGACTGTTCTCTGTACCTCTGAGTTGATTTCTATTTATTTGTTCATTTATTTTGTTCTTTACATTCTACATGTAAGTAAAGTCATACAGTATTTGTCTTTCTCTGTCTTACTTATTTTACTTAAGATAATACCCTCTAGATCCATCCATGCTGTCACAAATGATAAGATTTCATTCTTTTTTATGGCTGAGTAATATTCCATTGTATATATATACCACAGCATTTTTTATCCTCTCATCTATTGATGGGCACTTGGGTTGCTTCCATATCTTGACTATTGTAAATAATGCACAATGAACAGAGGGGTGCATATATTCTTTTGAATTAGTGTTTTGGGTTTCTTCGGATATATACCCAGAAGTGCAATTGCTGGGTCATAAGGTAGTTTCATTTTTAATTTTCTGAGGAACCTCCGTACTGTTGTCCATGGTGATTGCACCAATCTGCATTCCCATAAACAGTGCACCAGAATACCTTTTCTCCACATCCTCACCCACACTTGTTTTAAAATAAATTCTTTAGTGCCTCAAAATTAATGTTGTATTATTTACCTAAATGACTCATTATTTGTTCGAGTTTTGAATTTTAGCATTAAGAATTAAATTAAACCTGGCCGACAAGGCTCAGCAGTTGAGCATCGACCTATGATCCAGAGGATCACGGTTCGATTCCTGGTCAGGGCACATGCCCAGGTTTCAGGCTTGATCCCCAGTGGGGGGAATGCAGGAGGCAGCCAATCAGTGACTCATCATTGATGTTTCTCCTTTCCTCTCTCTGAAATCAATAAAGATATTTTTCTTTTTAAAAAGAATTCATATCCTTGCACATCACAATAGAGAAGATTACAACTTGAATGTATTCCACCATAATGGATTAAGAACTCTTAGATTGTAATAAGCATCAACAAATGACACTGAAGACTTTACATAGGGATCCAAGTATATGAGAGACCAGGTATAGCTTTCATTAACAACAGGAACACCAACACTGTTAACAACTGATGTGAAGGACATTAAAAAGTAGAGTTAGAAGAGCTTGGTGACAGGCAACAAAAAACTGCAACCTAATCCTAATTTTGTCATTTATTGGATGTGTGACCTTAACAATCCTTTTGGGCCTCATTTCATCTACAAAATGGAGAGAATTGCTACCAGCCTACCTCACTGGGTTATTGTAAAGATTAATATGTGAGAAAAGTGAAAATTAATGAAATAAGTATTATTCTATTACAACCTACATCACACAATATAGATGCTTTATGTTTGAAGAAGTAAATACTTTGCAAGTGTTTGATACTAAGAACCCTGTAAAATAAGGCAGTGCTTTTATCAACAAACATCTTAAACATAACCTTAGATACTCAGCTACTCTGTGTTTCCCTTTTTAAAAGCAGAACATCTCTATTTAGTACCAAGTGCAAAAATATGAAGTCACAATCAGCTAAATCTTGCTTTAAATTCTAGAGTAAATGTTATCTTCAGCTATAATCCTTTAAAAAATTTCTTAACTTACCATCTTCATAACAAGATTTGTTGACAAGTCCTGGATTTTCTGCAAGGGCTTCATTAATTTCAGTTACTTCTCCTGACAGAGGAGAATAGAGTTCACTAGCAGCTTTCACACTTTCCAAAGCACCAAATTCATCTAAATTGAGAAAATGAAAGATAATATTAAATGTCAAAAGTTAATGACCTGAAAATGGGAAATATGGAAAAGTGGTCACCTTGAATACAATCATGATAAAATTCTAAATATCTTTAATTAAAAATAAAATCATAGGTTTTGTTATGCTTGTATCACCTATGAGAATATCCTCAATGAAGCATACCTGTCTCTTCTAGACAGAGGAAACAAATGGTGATGTATCCGAATACCAGATGTGCTTGAGTTCAGCGAAACTCAACTTTCTTTCAATTTACTGGGGCTCAGAAAAAAATTTTTTTAGAAGATTCCAGTAACTGTAAAGTACCTCAGACCAACCTTCCTACAGATAACAATTATAAACCCCAAACAAAACACACACACCATTATATGTAGAATACCCAAAAGGAGAGTCAATGATTGAAAAAAAGGGACCCAAACTCAGTGAGATCTTCATTTATAAAATGTGTATCACTCTATCCAAAGAGCACAGTGTAACTGGAACACAAGTAGAAAACCAGTCTTTTTTGAGAGGTCAGAGGATGGAGTATGGAGCTGCCAAGGTGACTAGAAAATGAGGGTTGAAATCCTAGAAAGAAAGGAGCCATGATAAAAAGTACTCAACAGAAAGATCCTCAAATGACCCACAGACCCACCTGAAGGAATTACCAAGGAACCTTAAAGTAGCTATTGTAAATATACTGAAAGACTTTTTTAAAAGATCATAATAAGTGAACATATGGGGGAATACTTGCAAAGACATAGAAATTTTAAAATGGACATTTTAGAACTGGAAAGTAAAGTATCTAAAATAAAACATTCACTGAACGGCATTAACAGCAGACTGGATACTGAACCTGAAGAAAGATTATTTGAAATTAACAAATTTAAAGAACAGAGTTTTAAAAAAAGGCTGAAAAATTAACAGAGCCTTAGCCATCTATGGGACAATATCAAGCGATCTGAAGTGAATGATAATGAGAATACTACATACCAAAATATTTGGGATATAGCTAAAATAGTGCTTAGAAGGCGCATAATGTCTTTAGCTTTTGTTTAAAAAGAATATCTTAAAATCAAAGACCTGGGTCCCAAAGACACTAGAAAATGAACAAAACAGTCAGTTTATGGAGAGGAGGCAACACTTGAAAGAAGGAATGTGAACACTGCTGATTGTTTAAATGACCTTGCCTGAGGAGAGGCACCAATCTCTGTCATGTGGGGCAGACAAAATTGTGAAAGAAAAATCTCAGTTTTGCTTGCTTAAAGAACCAGAAGGCAAGAGTTTGGGGCTGCTATAGCTACTTGAACATGAAGTAGGAAATCCCAAGGAGAGGAACTGAAAGGAAGAGCCCCAAATTCTGTGTATAAACTCTGCCTAGGTCTCTGAATGATCCCACGCGTGCACATGGCTGACTCCAAGTGTCCTGGCTAAGGTAAAAGAATGAAACTAAGATTTTAGATGCCATGCCACCACAAGGGATCCAGTGTTTTATAGTATGAGTAAAAATGTCATGTAAAAAAGTACTTACACCAACAAAACCTCAAAATTCCACCTTAAGAAGCTAGAAAAATAAGAGCAAATTAAATCTAAGTTAAATTGAAGGGAAAAAAACAATAAAAATATGAATAAAACTAATGAAATGGAAAACAGAATATTAGCAGAGTAAAAATTTGGATGTTTCAAAAGATTAATGAAATTGATAAATAGCTGGCACATCTGATTAAAAAAAAAGAGAGAAAACAAATTACAACAAACATGAAGGAATGAAAAAGGGATCCTCAATACAGATCCTATGGATATAAAGGGATAATAAAAATAAGCATCTTCATGCTGAATCTGACAACATGAAAAGGAAAAATTCCTCAAAAAACACAACAAAACTGTGCTCTGGCTGGTGTGGCTCGGTTGAGTGTCATCTTGGTCAAGGTACATATCCAGTTGGCAGACTCAATCCCCGTTAGGGCTGTGCAGGAGGCAGCCAATCAATGTTTCTCTCTCATCGACATTTCTCTCTTTCCGTCTCCCTTCTCTTTCTCAAAAATTCAATGAAAACATATAAAAAATATGTATTTAAAAAAGACCCATAACAAAACCAATGTAAGATAACATAGGAGATATGAATAGTCTTCTCTCTATTAAAGAAATTAAATCTGTATCAAAAACCTTTCCATAAAGAAATACGGCTCAGATCTACTGGTTAATTTTATCAAACATTTAATGAAGATATATTAATCCTGCACATTCTTTCAGAAAAAAAGGAGGTATGAACATTTCCAAACTTCTTCTATGAGGACAATATAGCTTATTCCAAAATTCGACAAAGGTATTATAAAGAAAGACCAATGTCTCTCATGAACATAATGTGAAAATTAACTAGCAAATCAAATCCAGCAATAATTAAATCAATCTTTTTCATCACATTAACAGAATAAAGAAAACCGCTATAATGTCAATAGATGGAGAAAATGAATTTGACAAAATTCAACATGCATGAATAACTCTCAGTAAACTATAGACAGGGTCCTCCTCATCTGATAATGGGCACCTGTGAAAACCCCACAGCTATATATCACACCTAATGATAAAATGTTAAATGTTTTCTACTAAGGCAATGATGACTATCCTTACACTTCTATTCGACATTATACTGAGGGCCCTGGCCAGTGCAATTAGACAAGGAAAAGAAATAAATGTATAAAGATCGAAAGGAAGAAATAAAACTCTTTATTTACAGACAGACGATCTAAAAGAATCTACAAAACTAAAACTATATGAAGTTTCAAGAACAAAACACAGGGAATATTTTTGCAAACTTGGTACAGGCCAGAGTTGCTCAAACTTTCTCAGTTCAGTGCCCTTACTGTCTTAGTAACTTTTTATGGTGATCTCTTGACCAAAACAAATAACACAATATTCGATACATAATTAAAACATTAATAACTTGGACTTGTTAAAAATTAAAAGCTTTTCTTAAAAATAAACATTTGCCTGGCCAGCGTGGCTCAGCAGTTGAGCATCTACCTATGATCCAGGAGATCACAGTTCAATTCCCGGTCAAGGCACATGCCCAAGTTGCAGGCTTGATTCCCAGTCGGGGTGTGCAGGAGGCAGCCGATCAATGACTCTTTCATCATTAATGTTCTCTCTCTCTCTCTCTCCCCCACTTCCTCTCTCTGAAATCAATAAAGACATATTTAAAAATATATATACTTTAAAAAATAATAAAAACACGAGAACAGAAAGGCAAAACCACAAGCTATGACAAAATACAAAATATATACCTGATAAAGGATTTGTATCTAGATTATATAAAGAATGCCTAGTCCTGGCTGGTGTGGCTCTGTTAGTTGAGCATTATCCAGTGCACCAAAGGGTCGCTGGTTCAATTCCCAGTCAGGGCACATACCCCAGGTTGCAGGCTTGATCCCAGGTCAGGGTGCATGCGGGAGGCAACCAATTGATGTTTCTCTCCCTTTCCCTTCCTCACTCTCTGAAAAAATCAATAAAAATGTATTTTAAAAAGAAGATACAGATCCCTACTTAGTCTACTTTTAAGTTTCTGTTACTTGAGTAAAAAGCACTTTAATTGATCCTCGGTACATAAAAGTTATTATTCAAGCCCTGTCCAGGGTGGCTCGGTTGGTTGGAGCATTACCCCATGCACCAAAGGGGTCTTGAGTTTGATTCCCAGTCAGGGTACACACCCAGGTTGCAGGTTTGATCCCCAGTAGGGGCGAGTTCAGGAGGCAACTGATCAATATTTCTTACTCACACAGATGTTTCTCTCCCCCCGCTTCCATCTCTCTGAAATCAATGAAAACATCCTCTGGTGAGGATTTTTTAAAAAGCTATTATTCAAGGTAAAGGTCAGGTAAAGAAAATTCATGGTATGAATGATGACATACCAAGATGAGAAAAATACTCACCTTGCTTGTTCAATTTTGTCCCAATTTCAGGCAGACTACAGTAAACAACATCTCCTAAAGCTTCCTAAAAAAAAAAAAACACCAAAAAAACTAAGAAATCAAATTAAACCTCCTAGTAAACAGGTACGAGCCAAATACCAAATCCCCTATAACTTCAGGTAGTAGTACATATTTTACACTTGATGGGCCACATTTTTTGTTTTTTTTCTTACAGCCCTTTAAAACACAAAACTATTCTTGGCTCAGGACCTGCTAGAAAACAGGCCACTAGCTGGACTTCCCACAAGCAGTAGTGACCCCTGTTACAAACCATATGTACCCCAAAAGATGGCTACCCCCTCTGAGAACAAACACACTGCTTTTTCACCTCCACAGTTTTACTCAGGCCATTTCACCTACAGTAGTTGCTGAAATCGTACTCATTAATTCTTCAAATCATAGTCATGCCTTGTACTCCTTGAAGACCTTGACTCCAATAAGAAATGACCTCCCCAGCAGGTGAGTGGGTTACCATCCCCTCCACCACTCAGGTTATCCATCATGTAATGTTTTGTATGTCATTTTCCATGTAGGTAATTACACTTATAAATAAACTCTAGGAGGTGAAGACACTTATACACTATTTCACAAAGCACCCCGTACTGGGTTTCAGTAGGTTCAGAGATATGCCAAGATACAGTTGTCATTGACTCTCAATACCTGATATTCCAACATTTCTAAAAAATATTATATATTTCCATCAGTTAACATCCCCTTTCCCCCTAGTGCCCCACCCACCTCCTACACAGATCCAGTTGAAAATCACTGACTGGTACTGTTTGGCTTCTCATTTTCTTTTACACAGTATTTCAAATATGGGATGAGTGGGAATAGGAGAGTTAACAGATAAATAAATAGGCTAAATAAAAGGTTTCCCTCTGTGCCAATCTAGGTTTTTCCCTCTTCATGTTCCCCTGGTCATGTGTACGTCACGGTATCCACAAAATACTGTAAACACTCCGCCCTTTAACTCACTTTTCTTTTTCTGTTTCTTTCTTTAACTGCCCCAATATGAAACAAACACATTTCTTTGTTGAATAAGGTTTGTTTCCTACTTTTAATTTTAAATGTTAACCTTTCAATATCTCTTAAAACACTACATACTGCCCTAACCAGGTTGTTTTTCAATTGTTTCACCTATGATTAATGTTTTTCTAAGGGCCTATAAAGGGCCCAAAATACTAAGGGCAGAATCAACAAATTTTAAACAGCAGAGACAATCCAATTTAGGTGAAAGCAGACTGTTTTAACTATTTCGAGATAATCCAATACCTGTGCAAAATTGCTGATTCCCACTGTTCCAATACCATTTTCTGTTGTTATCCATTCATGTTTCTCTGTGAATTTACGCACTAAAATAGAAGACCAATATTTCAGAAAAGCAGTAGCATCACGTCTTATAATGCACTTTTTATATCAATACTATCAAAAGGCAAAACTTTCTCAGTATTTGTGTCTGACTTACTGACACTGCCTTTCAATAATAGTACATGCCCAGGAAAAAAACCGATCATGTGAAAAGATGGCACATCTTGCCTGGCGAGTGTTGCTCAGTAGTTGAGCTTCGACCCAAGAACCAAGAGGTCACAGTTCCATTCCTGGTAAGGGCACATGCCAGGGTTGTGGGCTCAATCCCCCAGCATGGGGTGTGCAGTAGGCAGCCAATCGATGATGTTTCTATCTCCCTATCCCTCTCCTTTCCTCTCTCTAAAAATCAATTTTAAAAAAAAGATGGCACATCTCAACAGTGGTATCACGTGGACAAAGATGGCTTGATATGAATGCCTTGTGCACCTCTTGGAGATTTGATTATCTGCTAACCTTACTTAGTCTAAATCATACACAAAAGATTTTGGAGGACATTTCAAATGTGTACTTACCTACTAACTGGTCTGTCTTGCAGAAAAAGTCTGTCCCTCCAAAGACAGACTTGGAGTGATGAGGTTTAGGGATGAGCACAGACTGCTCATAAATTATTTAACCTAAAAAACAACGTGCCTCTTTAGAGTTGACCTAAGAGAGCTTCACTGCAACTTGGTTGTAAAGTGGAATCTTACGGGAATGAAACTGACCTAAAACAACTGAAACTTTTAAATTCTTAAAATTCCAATTTAATGGAATTCAGGCCTGCCATGGAAGAAATAGGCTACCATCATTTAAAGAAGCAAACTACAAGATCAGAACTCAACAGTCACCTCGGAGCTAAGCCATTAACTGGTAGAAAGTCAAGCTCTGCTGAACATTCATTGGACAGGTTAGCCCTTGGCTTTATAGGCTTCTTCTCTTCAAAGATATGGTCGAACTATTCAATGATTCCTGGAAAAAAGACTGACCAAAGTTCGAAAGATGTGAAAAAAATTATTAAGGATTTAATGTTAAAAGTACTTGCTTTAAGGAATAATTTTTTAAAAAGCATATGCTATCGTAAATATATATTACTTTCCAAAGTGAAGTATTTTTCTAAAAATAATGCATCAGAAGTTAATTGGAAAATGGTTCATTAATTCCAATACTGTTTTAAAGTAAGCCTTGCTGGTTCACTCTTCCCCTTTACCCAAAGATAATTGTACTTAAAACAGCATTACACAGCTCTGATGTGCAACAGAATGTAAACAGACTATAGCTTTATCCCTAAGCAATAAAAAACTTTAATTTTAGCCCAGCCAGTGTGGCTCAGTGGTTGAGCATCAACTTATGAACCAGGGGATTGTGGTTTGATTCTTGCTCAGGGCACATTCCCAGGTTCCAGACTCAATCCCCAACAGGGGGCGTGCAGGAGGCAGCCAATTAATGACTCATCACTTATGATTTTCTCTCTCCCTTCCTCTCTGAAACCAATAAAAATGTATTTTTTTAAAAAAACTTTAATTTTACACTCTTCAGTTGAAGAAGCTACAAAACCTGTCACCAAGGAATGTGTTTTGTTTTATTCCACTTCAAATAACTGAATGCCTCAGATCAATGTGATCTTTCTATAAAAAAGTTAAGGTTTATACTTGGTGTTTTGACTGCAATACTGCCCTGACCTTTCACCTTTTCTTGACTATTTCAAAGTTCAATTTAGCTCTTTCCTGCCAGAGGCCTTGTCTAGCCCTCCAAGACTGGGTTCCTGGGCCATCCAGCATGCTCCCACAGCATTCTGCACCACTCTCCTCCCACCCTGGCCCCAAACACACTCATAGAATTTAACCTGCTACAGATTCAGCCCATATGTCAATTTCCCCCAAGAAGTAGACTGTAAGTACAAAGCGAGCAAGAGCAGAGTTTATTTCATTTGTATTCCCAGTTCTAAACAATGCTTGGTATATAGTAAGCTCTTAAAAGTTGGAGTGAAGTAGTTTTTAAAGTTCAAGTAAAGTAAAGGGGATCCTGAGCAAAAAAATATTTAGTATATAGTTATTTGGCTACAACACTCAATTGGACCTATCATTCTCTTACAACTCTAGAACTGGCAGTTTAAATCTAATATATCTTTTGAAGGGCTGGGGAACTATAAATATGACCTCTCTGAGGCTGCCGTCCGGATTTTGGCCTTGCCATCTTACCTAATTGTGAAGATAATCTTCGGAATAAGATTGCTGTCATACTCAATTTAGCAAGTAGGCAACCAAACATTACTAAGCTAAATGCACCTAGGTCCACTTGCCTCCTAGTCCATTGAAGTGTTTTTCCTCGGCCATGCCATTTAGGCTCAATGATCAGTGCAATTCTTTAACCCTTGGTCCAACAGGGAAAAAGTGGAAAGGAGATTAGGTATTATTTACTTTCTTACTGAGCTTTGAAAAACAGCGTTAGGCTGGAGAAAATTAGGCGTTTTGAGTAATTTATGAAAAGCCTGTGATTTTCCTTCTTTCAAAAACAATACATAAAATATATTAATGTTGGTCCATTTTTTTGCTGTTTATTTGATTCTATGAACTAAAATTTAGTAAGTAACATCAAGTACTTACTATGCGTCAGGCTATATGTAGAGCAGTTACGTTATATCATTTCATCCTCGAAACTACTGTGAGGTAAGATTATCATTTCCGTTTTTCTGATGAGGGAAGCTGACTCAAAGTTTTGCTCGCTTCAGCTAGTAAAAATCTAGATCCAGTGCTTTTACGTCAATAAGTGCTCTTGCTTTAATTCTACTTCGGAAATCTCAGTCATGGTCTGTGGAGCAAACTGAAGCCTATTATCTGTCTCCACTTTTAGGGCCCACGATGCCCACAATCAGAGAGAACTAAGGTCACGAAGAAGCTTAGCGACACTGGCCGGACTCTCCTGCGGCGAGCGGCCGACGCTCCCGCCCCGGACACCGCGACCGCGCGGACTCCAGCCCCCCCGCGCGGGTCCCTAACCGCGGGACAAAGGCTGCGGTGTCGCGCACGCCGCTCAGGGAGGGCAGCGGGGCCACACAACTGGAGATCCCAGCAATGAAGGAAAGGTGCTCGGGGGGCCCTGGCGTGCCCCGGGAGAGCCGCGGCGGGGACCTGAGGTAAGGACCGAGGCGAGGAGGGAGGGGCCCCGCTCTCCGCCACCC